TTTCTGGTTTCTGGTCGTAGAAATAGTAAGAGTAAGTATAGAGTATTATAATAAGTAAACTTTAAGGAGACTTTAACTTAAGACATGCTTTGACTAAACAGTCGCTAGTTGCATATTGATTGCCCCCACCCACCCCCCCAGGAACTCCAAAAAAAAGTCATGTGATTGACAGGTTTTGCACCATCACGTGATGGCAGCCATGACAGGACACTCAAAAAATAGAATCTTTTTGCTCTTTCTCGTGTAAGCCAGAAGAAACCAGAATCAATATACCTCATTCGTGGTGTGACAATGTTTTCCCAATAGACCCGTTTCGAATTCCAAATTACCGCTGTGTTTCTTGATTACAGACTCATTTGCACAGGTTAGTCTCGAGTTTGTGCAGAATATTCACGTGTTCCAGTCAAGGTCCGTCGAGTTTCAAAGTGTTTGTATTGTTGAAGTTGTGCATTCTTTACTTTACCGTTGGTATTTGTGAATATTTAGACACTGATACGAGGCTAAGCCTGTGCAAATGAGTCTGTAATCAAGGAACACAGCGGTAATTTGGAATTCGAAACTGGTCTATTCAGAGTGACAAACCTCTGGGGRAATGAAGAGCTATTACTTTGAAACTCGTCGGGACATCATCGTTATTCTTTTCGTATCCTTTGGGATACTCATGAAATTTTCGAAGAGTAAAAACAAAAGAAAATGAATTCTCTGGAGGTTCGTCACGCTGAATTGGGAAAACATTGTCACACCACGAATAAGGTCTATTGTTCCTGCCTCCTTTCATGGCTGAAAGGAAGGTAACTAAGGAAGAAATGCAAGCATCCATTACCTCTCTGTAAATCAACTTTCCCATAGCATAGTTGACCGTCACCCAAGATGACACACCCTCTTCGTCTCCACTAATTATCCTCGCATTATCATCTGTAAATCGAAACGGTGAACTACGAAGGGTCTGTCTGACAGATTCCATTATCTTTCTTGATGCATCTTTGTTTCTTTCTCTAATAATAAGAGCAAAATTGATGAAAMAGGGCCCCGGTTTATCAAATAGAAAATATACAAGACTGTATGATAAGGCCAAACAAAAAAATAAGTGTGTTTCCTGTTGCATGAGATAAATAATTGGGGTTGGTAGGTCGGATTTCTCTTTTTTTTTTACTGATACAACAGTGGAAATGAGCTTACTGGGAACTCTGTGGTGCATTTGGGAATGAAAAAAATATTAGGGTCGGCAAAAATTGGCAAGAAAATTAGGGTCGGTCGCGCAACAGGAAACACACTTTTTTTTTGTTTGGCCAAAAAAAAAAAAAAAAAAAAAAAAAAAAAAAAAAAAAAAAAAGGGCAAAAGCAAAAAATCCTGCTTGTTTTTTACTAGGGTAGTACTTCCAAAATAGCGAGTGCCTAACAAACCTGTGGCCCTTGTTCTGTGATCGATTGGAAGTTAGGAGTTGATTTTTGAGGAGGGAGGAAAACCGGTGAACCTGGAAAACCCTCGAAGCACAGGAGAGAACCAACAAACAACTCTACTCACATACGATGCTGAGCCCAGCGGGACTCGAGCTCGGGTCGCATTGATGAGAGTGAGCGCTCACACGGCTACGCCACCTGTGCTCCCCAAAACACCTCATAGAAATATCAAACACTCTCTCATGACCTCTCATCTTGGCCCCGGGGGGGCTACTTCGCCAGAATTTGGGTAGGAGTGTTCCGCTGGGATTCTGAAAGGGGTACCCTGTTTATGACAAAAAAACTCAAATTTGTAGACCCTGTTTATGACAAAAGACATAATTTATTGCACTGAGTTCCTTTATTTAGTTTATAGTTATAGTTTATTCCACTGTTTCAATTATCCTGTCATCTCACGTATCGTTTTTTTACGACCATAATAACCAGTTTCGGTCAATACGAAAGTAGAATCCCTGAATATGACAGGAAACTCAGGAAGAAAGTGAAATTGAAGTGGAACTTGAGTGAAATTGCATACCCTGTTTATGATAAGGAGCTTGAAAAACCATACCCTGTTCAGCGGATCATCCCCATATTGCCCATATATGGGAGTACCCCCCCCCCCCGATCTTGGCTAACCATTAGGCTATTACAGGTAGCTTGTACCTGATTTTTTGTTAATCATATTGATGACTTGTAAATATTATGAAATAGAGGTACTAAATAAAAAAGTATGTATGTATGTAAAGTATATATACACCTACTTCAATAAATGTTGTCATCACCAAAGGCAATAGGCAATACGCAAAAGCGATAGAAGATAGGTCATTCCAAGATCCAAGAAAAGCTCAAATGAATTATGTTTTTGCTTCTTATTCTCGTCAAGAACATGGACCTTAGTGTGAAGACTGATTCAATGTTGTTTGTAGTCAACGAAACCATTTCCATGTCGGAATGACATATTGCATTTGGCGATGCAACGTTTATGGAAATAGTTGTGTATCACTTCAATGATTAAGAGAAACAGAAAAAAAAATGTAGACATATTTTTAAGCCTGAGATAAAATGTTAAGGAAACAAGAAAAATAGAAAAAAATGAGATGAATTGATCAGAATAGACCCCTTCACGGTTCGCTGCACCATCTTGAAAGATAGCCGTGCCTTTGCATCAAAGTGAGACGAACGATGAGCTTGCAATGATAGAGATCTTTTTTAACACCTTGGACTATTATTCATAGGTCCCTATCATTGCAAGCTCACCGTTTGTCTCACTTTGATGCAAAGGCATGGCTACCTTTCTAAGATGGTGCAGGGAACTGTGAAGGGGTCTATTGACAAAGAGAAAATATAAAAACAGAAACCATCAAAGATTTCAAACTTACTCAACCAGCCTCATGCCTGCAGTAGCTCCAAGATAGATAGGTGTTTCACTCTGTTGGAAGGAAGGGACTAGTTTCTTTGCAGTACTGTCTATGCATGACTGTAATGATGATCCAGCTAGACCTGGATTTTTTGTCACATAGCTAGAAATACTGCCACCTAGAGAAAGAAACAAATGTATTATATTATAATATTAAGCATGATCCCTTTGAGTAACTTGAAGCAAGTCTCTCTCTCAGGGGGGGGGGGGGGG